CACTGTAGCGAACGAAATTTATAAGACCAACACAACACAATAGCATGAAATAACCGAATATGCAGTGGCCATCGACATCCCTTTTAGTGTTAACACTGTCAACAAGAATAATCGGATGTTCAAAATCGAAAATTTGCCCATACTCTCTTTCATGACCAACGAAGCCTATGGTGTTCTTGATATTGAGTATTTCAAAATCTCCCATGGGTTCAGAAACTCGTGTGTTGAGATTACGCCAGGTTTTGCCGACATAGCATTTGTTACATTTTCCACATTTCAATTTGTAATATATGTAGGATGTACCCTGCCTGTTCAAAAAAATACGGTAAATTTTCTTTTTCAACAATAATATTGAGTTATTCCTCAATTTTTATTTTTTTCCTTTTCAAAGTAGCCCCCTCAGATATAATACACGTATGCCAGCGTTTTATCCAATCCTCATCGCAAAACGCATGGGTTTCTTCAATCTCGGAATCAAAAAAAAGTCGCAAGGGATCAAATCTGGTGAATACGGTGACTAAGGCATGATTACGATGTTAATTTCAGCCTTTTGAGCAAATCTTGATTCCTGAGCGATGCTCATGCGACGGTTTATTGGTCAAAATTCAGCAATTTTGGAACCAACTTCGCTGCCACACACTTCATGCCCAAAATTTTCGGAAAAATTGCATAGCATGAGCTATGCAATACTATTCATAGTTGAATCTTCAGATGTTTAGTCAGATAGTGTTTGTGAGGGTATAGCTGTTTTAACCATATGCTCTCGGAATCAGAGAATAAACGTAGCTAATGTACTTCAAATTGCAATCTATTATCAACCCCAAGCATTTTATTTTTTCGCTATACTCTAATTTGTGATTATTGACAAAAAATTGACAAATTATCTATTACTCTATTCCGGTCCGTCTCATTACCAAAAATTATGGCTGATGATTTATTTGGGTTGATGTTCAAACAATGATTTATTGAATGATGATGTGGATGACCTATTGAAAATATCAAGGAATGTTCAACGGATAAAAACACTAAAAAAATCTACGAGCCCTTCAAAATGTGTCACTTGACTCCCCTCTAACTTAAGAATGAATTAAAGTAAAACTGAGGAGTCTCTTCGATTATGATTTCATGGAAAAAGAAATTGAGTGTAAGAAATCAATTTTTGAAATGGCAAATTGTTTGTGTATCATTTTCATGAACTTGAATGATTAACTATCAAATTAACTAAAAGAAAAATTCGTGAGTTAGTAAGTTAATGGACTGACAGTTATCAGAAAACAACTGCTCCCCTGGCTAATGCCACGAAGGTCGTTTGATTTTGTCCGACAGGTGTCAGTGTAGGATTATTCACAGAAGCAATTTCTGCATATGCGATACAATTACCGTAATCTGACACCTGTAGGATATAATCCAACACCCTTCGTGGTATCAGCCAAGGGAGTAGTTGTTTCCTGATAGGTTATTATCCTACAGTGAAGGTGAGTTGAGACTAGCCTGAACGATTTTTTTTGTAATTTGATTTACAGTCGTTCTTCAAGTACTCCCGCTCACTATACCGGGTGATTCTCTAAGGTGGTTCACCCCTATAACTTTTTTATTATTGGAGACAGAAAAACGAAATTTGGAGGTTGGGTGTTATAGTTCAATTTACATTTTTTGACATATTTACTTGCTTTGCCGTACTTCCGGTTTGCCCGGAAATGACCCCAACTTTCGATTTTTAAACGGGGCATCCTATATATTTTTACTTATTTCAATCAAGAATGACATTCTAAATCGAAATTGCTTCATTTGTCAATATTTCACAAATAAAATAACTTTTATTCCAATTTTTATTTTTTGATCTAGAATGCCATGGATCGTGTTTATCGCTTCATTCTTGATCAAGTAACATGGGAAAATTACGACTTTGAGGCTTATGACTTCACAGTCGTTTTAAGAATTATTTCATAGTCGCAAATATGAATTTTTCCGTTTAACTTGATTTTTTCAAATGGAAAGGGTGTGGCTTGTCGGCTTTTTGTGAAAGATCATTTCCTCACAAATAATTATGCCACACACTTTCACTTTATTTTCTCTATTTTTCTGAATAATTGCAAGAAACTATCATACCTAATAACAAATAATACGTATTACGCATACTTATGCACTAAATCTTGTTATTCCAGTTATCCGTGACAAACAATTGAAGCCGTTGCTAGGACTACCTAAACAAATATGCTAATGAATATGATGTCATTTTTAAAAATTTATTTATTGTAGTTTATAATTAGATATGGCAAATTATAATAGAAACGAGAAAATTGACATGTTGCTAATTTACGGAGAAACAAAAAAGAATGCAACTGTTGCAGCTCGAATTTATGCTCAGACGTTTCCTAATCGTCGCCATCCCACTCGGCATTATTTTCCAAAACTGGAAAGAAAAATGCGAAATGAACCAAAAGAAAATGCCAATAACTTCATCGTCAGTGAAGAAAAAGAAGTACGGCAAAGCAAGTAAATATGTCAAAAAATGTAAATGGAACTATAATACCCAACCCCCCAATTTCGTGTTTCTATCTCCAACAATAAAAAAGTTATAGGGGTGAGCCACCGTAGAGAAAGAATCACCCGGTATGTGAAGATTTTTTCTTTGTATGAGGAATTAGTATCTCGTTTACGGGTAGATGGGGCGATGACAAATATGTTGTTTGTCGTTCGCTTCAGCCTTTTTCGAGGAATGAAACTCTGAAAGGAATTCGATTATCAATTATGGGATGTCACCGATAGTCACGATGATGGGCACTACCCTGTACTGATGGGAGGCTAAATAGCCCGAAACCAGTCTGCAAGTGTGCCCGTTCCAATATTTGAAAATCGATTTCGGCATATGTAGGAATTGTTTCTGTGTAGATTCCTGCACTGACACCTGTCGGATATAATCCAACGCCCTTCATGGTATTAGACAGGGGAATAGTTGTTTTTTTAATAGGTCCTTTAACCTAGTGTAGGTGGCCTTTCAGATAATTTCATTTACAGCTAGTCTGCCCACTGAATATATGTGATGAGTAACTATCTATTTATGAACTGCAAATGAATTATTCATTAAAAAAAAGTGAATAAAGCACCTGACTTTCAATTTAAAGTACATAATTATGCGATTTGTATGAAAAATTCTAATTATTTGCTGGCAGCATATCACAGATTATTAACAAACCGATAAAGGAATAACAAATGACTTGACCTAACCTCACAAATAATGCAGGAAACAGACAATATCGAATTTCATTGCCGGCTCGTCGTCGCCGGGGTCAATGTCACGATGACATTCGACTGTTTTAATCTCGTTTATATTTATGTGCATTCCATAACTATTTACAGATACAGAATTTTGCGAATGGCGCGATATTTCAGCCGAGAAGCTCAATTACCGAACCGAGGGTTGCTTATTGCTTTATCTTTTCTTCCAAATGAGACTGCACATAATGGTGATGAATGCCGCAGACATGCTTGGCAAAGCGTTTCGAGAAACTAATAGGAAATCCGCCTCGTGCTGGGGAAGATTTTTAGAGTTGAGCTGAAAGATTCGTTTATTATAATGCGCATCACTATGTGTTATATAACAAAGTCTCCCCGGCTTTCCTTCTGAATAAACCTAAAAAATAACAAGGGGAAGTTGTCATCGAAAACACTCCCTTATCCCTTTGGAATAGGTCTCCAGTAAAGTCCGTGATGATAATGTCTATCTCAAAAGGATCACTTATACCAGGATGTTGTTCCCAGGAGTACTCGGCCTGACCTAGAGATGGAGATAGTTGTTCGAGAAATATCACTGTATTCAAAAGTAGACCTGCTTAAAATTGCGGTCCTTGTCCCTATACTTGAAATTGGTGACAGTAAAAATATCGAGAATTATCGTCCCATATCAATAATCAGTATATTCTCAAAAAATTTTGAAAATATTATATCTGGCAGAAAAATGATTACTTGGAAACATTAGATCTAATGACAAAGTGCCAAAATGGGTTCAGGAAAAATATCTGGATAGAAACTGCAACGTTCAACTTTGTACAAGAAGTACATGATTTAATGGAAAACAAAAACATTGTGGTAGGTTTATTTTTTGATTTGAGTAGAGCATTCGACACCTTGAATATTAAATTCGTATCAAATAAGCAATTTAAGATTGGTATTCGAGGAAACATAAATCAGCTTATAATGTCTTTCCTAACAAATATATATTTCTAGGTGAAACAGAATGATATAATGTCCGATAAATTGCTTGTAACAAATTGGACACCTCAAGGCAGTGTACTCGGTCCACTAATTTTTCTGTTACATGTGAATGATTTACTTAATAAAATAAGTAATGGTGCGATATACCTTTACACAGAGGACACTTCCATTATTCTTTCAAGTAAAACAATGGAAGAAATGCATAACCTTGTGAACTCAGTCCTACACGAATTTGATGACTGGTGTTACAGGAGTAGACATATAGTTAACCTGAGAAAAACTGTCTGCGTAGAATTTGCAAATTCATCTCGAAGCTTACATGATTTAAATTTCATTTTCCGGAATAAATCCTTGGCATTAACAAGCTCAACAAAGTTCTTAGGAACAATAATGGACTTACATTTCACTTGGCGAGAACATATAGAGTTCACATCCAAGAAATTGAATCAATCGTATTATCTCATTAAATCCCTTAAGAATAAATTAGATACTGCAGCACTGATATCAGTTTATTTCGTCAAGTTTCAGTCCAGTATTTACAACAATATTGCTGTATACGTCTCTTTAATATACTGCCATGCGATATGTAGACACTGCCACCTCAAGTTTTTAAAAAACACTTGAAAGTGTTTCTATCAGAAAAAGGTTTCTACACAATAGATAAATTTATACTTGAAGTTGGTAATATCAGTATTAGTTGATGATGCTCAATGTTCATAAAAGTAGTTTTTTTATAGGAAATAATTCACCTCGGTTGTGAAATTCGAAAATAAAACTGCACCAACCTGTATGCGTTCTCTGGTGAGCCTTCAGGTGCGAACTTTTCGTGTAGACTTTCTTACATCCGAGGAATTGGCACTTGTGTATCCGCCTCTTGGAATCCGGCGAATGGTCCAAACGGGAATGATGCTTCTGCGGCGTCGTAGACGAGGAAATATTACTGCTCACCGGCCGAGTGGGTACCACGGAAATGTACCTCGTTAATCCGGAGGCGCGCACCCTCACAATGGTGTTCCTGTGACCCCCGGTGCCAAAACGGAGTCCGCAAACGTCCAAATCACTCGCGCCCCCCGAACTCTCATTGCTGAGCCCGCCCTGTCCCGATTCGGGGCTCGAAGGGGGCGTCAGCGTCGCTGGGTTCCTGCCGAGCCTCAGTTGCACGTCACTGGGGCTCTCGAAGCTGTCGTCATCTTCGTCATCGTCGTCGATGTCGTCGATAGGTTCCTGTTTGACGAGAATGGCGCAGGAAAGAGCGCCGTCCCACGAACATGGCGAACTGGCTGAACTCAAAGCGTCGAAGTGGCGGTCGCTGTAGTCCTCTAAGCTCATCCCGTACCAGGTGCGATCTACATCGGGCGGTAGTTTTTTGAAGGATTTCCGCTTCGGTTCGTCGTTCAGGTACCTTTCCATCTCGTAACAGGTCTGAAACAAAATAAGAATATTCAATCAATCTGGATGAACTTCTTTGTCCGAGAAGAAATCGATTTTTCATCAAAATTCAGTACATGAACATAATTCGATGAACAAACGTTTCGTCTTCTACGTCTGAAACGTTGGGTGATGAAGTTCCATTTGATCAGTGCCCACAAGCCCGGATTTTGTTCTGTCTAATCGTGACACTGGTTGTGGAAGCCTATATAGCAGTCTTTCTCAAAGTGAGCGATATCGTCCCATTGTGGACGCTGGAGGTCTACAGGGGGGCAGTAAAGGGCACAGAGAAGATTGGGGGTCGTTGAAGCGGTTCAGGGGGGCGATGGCTGATTTAAAAATGTTTTTTGCTTTTAACACAAACTTTACCGCTCCTTGACGCACGTTTCCTCGTGTAACGCCATCTAGGGGACTAAACAGTAACTAATTTCTGTTCGATAGTTGTGACTGTACAATAGATGGCGGTAAGCTTCAATGCGAAGCGAGAAGTTTCTAGTCTCCATTCTCGAAAGTACTAGGCCCGCCCGCCGCCTCATATAAAAGCGCGCGCCATCCAGCCAGTAATGTCATTCGACGATATTACGAAAACAAGTGAATTTAGTTAGCGATTAGCTAGGTAAAGTGCTGTACGTGCGGTGGTGAATACTGTGAGTGGTGTACTCTACGGTACATAGGGAGACGTGAAAGTTGCTATTATGTTTTTATTCAACTCGGTCAACCAATTTCCAGGGCCGTAATTTAAAAGGGAATAATTCACACAATTATAATCGAATATTACCGAAACATCCCGAAATATACAATCTTATTTAATTTCTCAGTATGAAGTGAACGTCTACGATCCAAAAACTATAACAAAAAATACAGGACCGTATTTAATAATTCAAAGATGGGGGTGGCCCAAGTCAGATGACACCCTGTATAAAAGATTCATGAATATATTCTGAGAGCCCACATCAATAAGCATACTATTGAATGCAGCAACTTTATGTTGGTAAGGGTGTGTGGAGGAATTATGTATGATAATGTCTGTGTACGATGGTTTGTGAAAAATTGTAAATTCATGTTTATTGTTATTTTTCGTAATGGTTAAGTCAAGGTAATTTATTGAATTATTTACCTCCCTCTCCGTGGTGAATTTTATTGAAGGGTGGATGGAATTGGCATATAAAGTGGCATATAAAAAAATAAAGTGTTTTTAGAATACGTTAAAACGTCATTAGTTGAATCAAGCAATAGGACTTATTATCGATGTTGAACACAATCTTAAATTAGTTTCCAATTACATCTGACCATTTAAGGTTAGTCAAAATCGAGTCCGTCGGAGTCGGTTACAAACAAACATACAAGTGAAGTTAATGAATATAGTGTAAAAAAAAACTGAAAAACACGCTTTTAAAGAACATCGAACTGAAAAGTTGAAAATTATTTTTAAAAAATATAAGCTTGAACCAATAACAAACGAAAAATACTAGTATTATTGTGAAAAAAGCGACGGGCTCTTGTTATACAAAGAATTTGGCACAAAGNTTTAAAAAAGGAAAATTATCTTTATTAATCAACAATTAAGGCAAAATATAAATTATAGTTCAATACCACCTCCACAAGCCACATATAAAACAGTTGTTTTGTTATTTATTTATATAGAGGAAGATAGGTTAGGTACACAAAATGTCATATGTCACAGAATGTCTCAGAACATAAGAAAACAGAACATCACGCCCCTGAAATATGTCATCTTTGTTTGTCTCATACAGGTATAGTTCCAAGTAAAAGATATAGTGCCCCATACCTTTCAGCAGTTCCCCTTTAATAACACACACAACGCGGTACTCATCGCTACATTCTGTTGGTCACCGTAACATGACTTTAAATTTAATTTCATGACTCTTCAGCCAATCATAAAACTCGGTTAGTAAAAATTATCCAATATGAACAGCAAATTCTTCAGTCCACGTGGACTAATTCGTTGCGGCATAATTCCTTTGTATTGGTTTTTTTTGGCCTTCGACTTCGCCGACACCTTTAAGATTACTATATCGGTTACTTCGACAATACCAGATTCATTGTCCTTTATTAGCTATAACCGATGTTGCCAAATGGTGAAATAGAAACGAATCCCTTTAAATGTTGGACATTATTTCATTCCTTGTTTTAGGTATTTAAATAATTTTTCAAAGAAAAAGGTTGAAATGATAAGTTTAAAATGCGTTGTTTTAGAGCTCTTTTATGAAAACTACTCGATTTTCGTCAGGAGGAACATTCCCCACTCAACTCATGCACGCCATATTTTTACCATTCAAAAACTAATTGTGAGTTGTATTTTCGAAGATCCGCGGATGGGTTCATGCAAAAATATTTATGAAAGTTTCAATACACTGACAGTCCTTGTTTATACATGAATTATGTTTATACATTTTCCAGAACACACATTAATTTCTGCACAATATGGATATACACGAACATAATACAAGGCAAAAAAGTAACATCAGAATAAAAAAGACGAGGCTGAATTTCCTCATGTCTCCTAATGTATTAGGCTCAAAAATGTTAAACATTCTACCAAAGGAAATAAGGTCTTGTGAGTCCATACTATTCTTCAGAAGAAGATTTAAATTGTTTTTAACTGATAAATCATTTCATGATATAAATGAGTTTTTATTATTTGATAACATATGAAACACATATACTTGTATTTTAACATTTTATTGTATGTTTTTATATCTTTCCCTGAATTGTTTACAATTTCCTAAATTTGTATTCAACACAAACTGACTATTCCTATACATGTAAATGTCACAAGGAAAATAAAGTGATTGATTGATTGATTATTATTATTTTTCAAAAATCCAGTGTTTTTTTGGTGATTCAACAATAACAATGGAAAAATTCAGTATATTATAGCCTAGAGAATGATAATGTCATCGCACATACTCTAGGATTTTGAACTGTTTCCTAATAATCAACTGAAGAAAATTACAAGAATTATTTGACGACTAAACAAGTACAGTTTTCCATATACAGATCAGAAAGCGGCCTCATTCAACGAGAAGTCGATAAATTATTTCTGTAATTATAATTTCCTCACAACAAATTGGCGAGCAAAGCATTACAAGCATTAGTCTTAGTTATTCCAAGTCTCTCTATAAATGTTTCTTCATTAGGCGGCAAAGTCGACATGAATTATGGGCGGTATGCACTAGTTTCCTAATAAGAAATTTCATACGAGACATTCCTATATTCGATCTTAACCAACACATTTAATGAGTACTTCCAGCACTGAGATCTCAAAATGTCTTTTTATAGAAATATTAAATTTATCTATTTTATTATGAAAACAGGACACTTNGGAATCCGGCGAATGGTCCAAACGGGAATGATGCTTCTGCGGCGTCGTAGACGAGGAAATATTACTGCTCACCGGCCGAGTGGGTACCACGGAAATGTACCTCGTTAATCCGGAGGCGCGCACCCTCACAATGGTGTTCCTGTGACCCCCGGTGCCAAAACGGAGTCCGCAAACGTCCAAATCACTCGCGCCCCCCGAACTCTCATTGCTGAGCCCGCCCTGTCCCGATTCGGGGCTCGAAGGGGGCGTCAGCGTCGCTGGGTTCCTGCCGAGCCTCAGTTGCACGTCACTGGGGCTCTCGAAGCTGTCGTCATCTTCGTCATCGTCGTCGATGTCGTCGATGGGTTCCTGTTTGACGAGAATGGCGCAGGAAAGAGCGCCGTCCCACGAACATGGCGAACTGGCTGAACTCAAAGCGTCGAAGTGGCGGTCGCTGTAGTCCTCTAAGCTCATCCCGTACCAGGTGCGATCTACATCGGGCGGTAGTTTTTTGAAGGATTTCCGCTTCGGTTCGTCGTTCAGGTACCTTTCCATCTCGTAACAGGTCTGAAACAAAATAAGAATATTCAATCAATCTGGATGAACTTCTTTGTCCGAGAAGAAATCGATTTTTCATCAAAATTCAGTACATGAATATAATTCGATGAACAAAAGTTTCGTCTCCTACGTCTGAAAGTTCGGTGATGAAGTTCCATTTGATCAGTGCCCAGAAGCCCGGATTTTGTTCTGTCTAATCGTGACACTGGTTGTGGAAGCCTACATAGCAGTCTTTCTCAAAGTGAGCGATAACGTCCCATTGTGGACGCTGGAGGTCTATGGGGCAGTAAAGGGCACAGAGAAGATTGGGAGTCGTTGAAGCGGTTCAGGGCTGATTTAAAAATGTTTTTGCTCTACTTTTACTAAAACGACTAGTAACTTCAGTGAAGAATCCTGCATTGACACCTGGCTAATACCACCCTTCGTATTAGCCAGGAGAGTGGTTCTTTCTGATAGGTGTCATTCCATTAACCCACAGTGTAGATGCGTTGAAGCCTAAACGAATTGTTCTTTTAGATAATTTAATTTACAGTCAGTTTTCAAGTATGCCTACTGATTACATGTGAAAAGGGTTCTTTCCTTATACGAGGAATTGGGCAAATTCGGATATGCGGTTCGTTAGTACTTCGTTTACGGGTAGATGGAGCGATGACAAATATGTTGTTTGTCGTTCGCTTCAGCCTGGTTCGAGGAATGATACTCGATTTTCAATTATGGAATATCATCGACTATATGTTGATGATGGCCATTACCTTGCACTGACGAGAAGCCAAATAGCCCGAAGCCGGTCTGCAAGTGTGTTCCAATAATTGAAAATCGATTGCAGGAATGAGTTCAGTGAAGAATCCTGCCCTGTCACCTGCCGGATATAATCCAACACCCTTCGTGGTATTAGTCAGGGAAGTGGGATCATTTATACAATTAATGCAATAAAGATAATACTCATATCGATAAAATTACAATATAGACACTATGACGTGTTAAGAATCACATGTTAAAAGGTAAGACCTCGTTAATCCTTAGCTCGCACATGTTTCGACTTCTGAGGGTTGTCGTTTATAGGGATGGTTAACGAAAAAACAGATATCACTGAGGAACCACTATAAAACACACTTTTGTCTATTTTCCACGATTTTCACCATTTTTTAATGGTGTAATGACCGAAAGTAGCCAACAAATATAGAACTATCGTGGAAAATAGACAAAAGTGTGTTTTTTATAGTAAATATGAATGTTCACGAAATGAACAAGTCGTCAATCAAAGAAGTAAAATACATACTAATATTCATTTTTACGCATTAAATGAAGATTAACAAATTAAATGTAGATTTAAATCTGAATTGAATCTACATTTACAATGTTTGTTCTGCATAAGATGACCAATAAGTTTTGATTGTTATGAAAGAACTAGCTTCCCTCAAACTCACGATAGTACGTAGTCTCATCCAGTTTATGAAAAAGTAACTGTGTTTTTAATTTGTTTACAATTTTTTAGTGAGTCCTGAAGAAGGACATACACATTTCCGAAAGCTTGACGTGATACCAAAGGGTTTTTTTTACTCCACGACATCCTCATACTGATTTCGCTTCGAAATCAAAGCTCTATTTCTTACACATATGTACATATACACACATATTACATCAAGTTTCAACTGAATGTAAAAATTCATCAATGTATTTCAATCGCCACAAAAGNGAAAAAAAAAACAAGAAACTGAATAAATAACGAGAGTTTGTTATTCGCTAGTATCGGCTAGGAATGCCTCCATTGATGAAAACATTTCTATAAATAACAAGCTAATTATACAGATAAAAGTTTTATCGATATCGCTCTGCTGTCTATTTACGGATCGGTTATTAGAAATAGTGTTTTGACATGTTAGTAATAAACAAACATTTACAATGCTAAATCATTGAGAAACGTCTGCTTGTCGGACCCTTTGAGGTGTACAATAAAATCTAGTGTAGCGATAAATAAATATGGGGGACATTTCATAACAAGTTATGAAATACTATTTTTTTCTGCAGCCATATCAGCAAATATGTAATCGACAGGTTATGGATGGAATATTGTTCAATTGCTAATAATTTAAAAAACAGAAATATATCCTTGTTTGTTAGTAAGTTGCAACCTGTAGAATACAATGTGGAGTGGATCCGAAATAGTTTCAGCTACAAGTCCAGTAATGTTAATTGAATAAAGAGGCCGCTACCATTCCTTGTTTCTAACAAGTGGTAGAATTAAAACAATCAATTTGAGGTCGATTAAGTTTATGAAAGAACTAGAGCAATTCAAGAGGTCATGCACTTCTCCCACAAATACATATAACACCCGGGCTAAAAAATTCAGGGTGAAAGAAAGAAAGCGCGTTTTTGTTCAAAATTGACTTCATTCCTAAACGTAATCTCCATCAAGAGCTACACAATCATTCCAGTACCGCTCTAACATTTCAATACCACTTTTGTAGAACGATTTATATTTTGTCTCAAAATAGGACTTCATTCGAGAAAAATCTCTTACCGGTGAGCATTTTTATGAGGTATGCGAACAGCCAGTAGTCGCTGGGAGCCAAATCTGGCGAATACGGTGGATGTGGAAGGAACTCGAAGTTCAGTTCATGTAGTTTTGGTTCACTTGTGACACGGTGTATTTTCTTGATGAAACATTTTTTTGCCAGGTGAGGTCGTTTCTTTGCAATTTCGTCCTTTGAACACTTCAATAACGCTATATTATATTCACTGTTGATGGTATTTTCCTTCTCATGATAGTCTATGGATATTACACCACCCACATCCCAAAATACTGAGGTCATAACCTTTCCAGCAGATTGTTGAGCTTTCGGGCACTTAAGACGAGGTTTACCAGTTGATCTCCACTCAGATCCGATCGTTTTGATTCCGGAGTGAAGTGATGATTCCATGTTTCATCCATTGTCACATATGACGCAAAAATTCTGATTTGTTATGCTCAAACATGGCCAAAATCTGCTCAGAATCATCAAGAATTTCTTGTTTTTAGTCAACAGTGAGCTCGCTCTGCACCCACTTTGAACAGAACTTTCTCATAGCCAAATGATCATCCAATATGAAGCCAACACGTTCTTTTGATATCTTTACAATGTCAGCTAACTCACTTTTCGATCATTCAAAACGATTTTGTGGAATTTCCTTTTTTTTGTGTTCTGGTATTACTGCCTCATTTGACGTCCACTACGTTCTGCATCATCGATGTTGATGATTGATAACAGAAGGGCGTAATGCAACCTGTTTATTAAAATAGTCAATATTTTTCCAAAATTGCAAAAGAAACGACCTATTTTCGTTTTCGTATATGGAATGGGCTTGTTTCATGCTATGGAAAATGAAACTGGTTTGCTTATAGACTGATCGAGTTAAGGGTATATTATATTTATCAAGCCTAATCGGTCCCAAAATCTCTGTATATTTGCAGAAAAAAAAATCGAAAAGCAAGAATTTAAATTGGCCGCGTGTCTGTTAAACAATAAAATTGATCGTGTCTAGAGCGGAGTTGCGAAGTGTATTGGTTTGTAATATCCAATCACAGATCTGATGATCCAATTTGACAGACGCCATTTTGTTGTTATTGTCGTCAAATCGGTGTGAATACAACAAACTTTTCATCCTTCGATAAAAGACAAAGTCTGAAATGAATGTCATATAAATAAAAGGGACCTACTAAATATACCACCTACCGTTTCAATTTTTCATTCTTCATTTCGGTACCAAAGTATTGCAAATTTTTCTATATGTTTACTTTGTCAAATATCATATAAAAATAGCCTAGAATATGAAAAATAAGAAATAAAACTCTATGTTTTCATACCACTTGTATTTGTAACTAACGTTACTCCAGGACAAGGAGTTCATTGCGTTCTTTCAAAAATGTCCTTGTAGGATGAAACTGCAGTTACGTTAATGACAAATACAATTGGTATAAAAACATAGTTTTTATACTAGAAATAAAACAAGTTTTATTTCTAATTCTTCATGATAATTCATACGACGTGGTAACGGCTTCATTCATAAATTTATAGTCCGGAATAGATATATTATACTGGAAACCTCAATGTGAACAATTGATTACAAAATTGTGTTCAATAAAATATATGTTTGCCAAGGTTCGTGCTGTTTTGGATACGCATCAGCTCCTAAATTTGTGCTATGCCCAAATTGAATCCCAGCTAAAATATGACATTTGTTTCTGGGGCAATGGGGAATGTTCCTCAATTTGGGTTATTACAGCAAATGCAAGTTTGAACAAAATAAAGTTGAGTTTAATTCATCAGTTTTTCAAATTCGCTTCGAAAAGTATTCAAATTGATGTTTCAAATGTTTGGTTTTAATTTTTGAAGGGATTTGTTTCCAATTCACATATTGGCAACAGCGCTTAGAACTTTACCTGCCATTCCTAAAAATATTTTACCTTGCATATAATATATCAAGTTGAAATAATTTTTACGTACCTAGATATTCTACTTTAAAAAAGGAAAATTATCTTTATTAATCAATAGTTAAGGCAAAATATAAATTATAGTTCAATACCACCTACACAAGTCACATAAACAACAGATGTTTTGTTATTTACTTATATAGAGGAAGATAGGTTAGGTGCACGAAATGTCATATGTTGCAGAATGTCTCAGAACATAAGAAAACAGAACATCACGCCCCTGAAATATGTCATATTTGTTTGTCTCATACAGGTATAGTTCAAGTAAAAGATATAGTGCCCCCTACCATTCAGCAGTTCCCCTTTAATAACACACACAACGCGGTACTCATCGCTACATTATGTTCTAATTGTTCTGTTCTAATTCGTTGCGGCATAATTCCTTTGTATTGGTTTTTTTGGCCTTTGACTTCGCCGACACTTTTAAGATTACTATATCGGTTACTTCGACTATACCAGATTCATTGTCCTTTATTAGCTATAACCGATGTTGCCAAATGGTGAAATACAATAGAATCCCTTTAAATGTTGGACATTA